TGGACTGACATTGACAGGTTCATTTTTTGGCCTCACTGAAAATGATGAACACTCCCTTCAAGAAATGTACAGAGCCCTCTATGGCGAAACAGTCGAGACTTTGCCGGCCGTTAGGGAAATAAAAACTCTATACCTTGGATCAGAAGTCTTTGGATCTGCCAAGTCTCAAAGTGTGAGATCTTCTTACATCACTGCCTACTGGACAGACGGGGACGGGAAAATTGGTTGGGGGTTTTTTCCGAGACCTGGAAAGGTATTGAGATACCTTCAGCACTCAGCAAGAGTTGACGGCATAGAGAAGAGACACATCCTTGCAGAAGTTCAATGGTATCGGGAACTTGAAGATAAACTAAAAAACCATTGTGGCCGACCAGTGGAAGCCTGGCACTCTTCCATGTATGTTGACTCTGGTCCATCTTCGTTTATGCCCATTCAACGAATTAAGGGTAAATTCGTCAAAATTGAGGGACAAATAGGTACCAGGACAGTTACATTTGTGTCACCAAGGGACAGATTTGTGTGTGTGTAATTTATTGGTTTATTGTTGTTGTAAAGTTTTGCTTTAAATAGAAATTTTAATTGTACATTCTATATTTTAGTTCTTGTATGTGTATTATTGTAGATATAATTGTATACATGTATGATCATTACCCAGTGATGTGCCCAAGTGTTATTTATTGTACATATACCTTGAACTATGACATGATATCCTGAATATAAATTCACGTTCATCCTGTGTTTTGTATTTTTGTTATTTCTGCATGGCTTGGTGAAATGTAAGATTTGGAATGAACACCTCGACAGCAGTTTAGTTATAATGCTATCAATTTATGGATTAGTTCTGAGAAACAGAGAGGGAAACAGCCATATATAACAGGGTACCAATCCGGTGTTCAATCGCATCGCCATGTCTGATAAAGGTATATTCGATTTGTAAAATAGCACTAGTAAAACCACGATGCCTCTCTTGTGGTGGTGTACATCCTGTGATAAATTTCAAATCATTTATGGTGCTAAGTTCATATTACAAAATATTTGAACAAAGCGCAACAACAAACTGAGAACCAGAAGAAGCACCAGTAGAAACATAATTCTTAATTTATTGAGGCTTACATCTTTTATGTGAGCTTGTTAAACAACCAAGAGAAATTCACTGTACTACGCTATATACAAATTAAATAAAAAATCTACCCTCAGTGACCTTTATTTTGCATCTTTGAAATAAAATCATGATGTGTTGCGATATCTAAATATTGCCAAAATATATGATGGCCATAAGTATGATACACTTATGTAACGTATTACAGATGAAATGTTTTCATCGACAAATGAGCTTGGTGACATAAAATCAAATATGTAGACATATAAGTCCACCATGTTCCGTTATACAAGCCTACGAACTGAAAGAAGCGGCAATAAAACCATGATGTGTTGCCAACACATCCTAACATTTGAAAAGTATCTAATGGGGTATTTTATGAAAGCATTCGTTTGAAGCTTTAAGCCAAAGATGCACTTGAAAGAGTGCATTACCGACGTAATAATAATCTCAAGTGCACACAAGTTGAAGAAGCGGCAGTAAATTCTTGATGTGTTGCACCGTCAAATACATTTATAAACAGTATTATGTATTCAACTAAAGCGTTGGGATAGAATATTGCAGCAAATCCACTTTGGAAACGATCTGAACAGCTTAACCAGCAGACAGAAGAAGCAGACATAAAATCACCTATGTATTCAAACATTTCCAAACAAATCCAAACAAATCCAAACATTTCCAAACATTTCCAAACATTTCCAAGCTTGGAAATATGACCTTTCCAAATTTTGGAATGGTCATATTTCCAATTGGAATGACGGTATTTCCAAGTTTTGGAAATGTTGGAATGGATGATATTTTGTCCAGTGTGAGATGGGAGTAAGACAGAGGGTATCCCCAGAGATTGGAGTAAGACGGATGGTATCCCCAGAGATGGTAGTAAGACAGAGGGTATCTCCAGAGATTGGAGTAAGACGGATGGTATCCCCAGAGATGGTAGTAAGACAGAGGGTTTCCCCTGGGATGGGAGTAAGACAAAGCTATAACCTACGTATGTAGTAAGACAGAGGGTATTCCCTGAGATGGAAGTGAAACAGAGGGTACTCACTGAGATGGGAGTAAGGCAGAGGGTATCCCCTGAGATGGTAGTAAGACAGAGGGTATCCCCTGAGATGGGGGTAAGACGGATTGTATCCCCAGAGATGGGAGTAAGACAGAGGGTTCTCTCCTGAGATGGTACTAAGACAATCGGTATCCCATAAGATTGGAGTGAGACAGAGGGTATCCCCTGAGATGGGAGTTAGGGAGAGGGTATCCCCTGAAATGGGAGTTAGGGAGAGGTTATCCTCACAGATGAGAGTAAGACAGAGGGTATCCCCTGAGATGGGTGTAGACAGAGGGTATTCCCTGAGATGGGAGAAAGACAGGGGGTATCCCCTGATATTAAAGTAAGACAGAGGGTATCTTCTGACATGGGAATAAGACAGAGGGTATCTTCTGAGATGGGAATAAGACAGAGGGTATCCCTTTAGATTGGAGTAAGACAGTGGTTATCCCAAAAGATGGGAGTAAGACAGAGGTTATCCCCTCTCATGGGAATAAGACAGGGTATCTCCTGAGATGGGAGTAAGACAAAGGTATCCCCAACGTATGAAGTAAGACAGAGGGTTTTCCCTGAGATGGAAGCAAAACAGAGGGTATTCCCTCAGATGGAAGTGAGACAGAGGGTATCCCCTGAGATGTGAGTAAGACAGAGGGTATCCCCTGAGATGGGTGTAGGACAGAGGGTATCTTCTGAGATGGGAGTAAGACAGAGGGTATTCGCTGAGATAGAAGTAAAAAAGAGGTTATCTATCCCCTGAGATGGGAGTAAGAGAGAGGATATCCCCAGAGATTGGAGTAAGACGGAGGGTATCCCCTGAGATGGGAGTAAGACAAAGCTATCCCCTACGTATGTAGTAAGACAGAGGGTATTCCCTGAGATGGAAGTGAAACAGAGGTTATTCACTGAGATGGGAATAAGACAGAGGGTATCCCCTGAGATGGGAGTAAGATGGAGGTAATCCCATAAGATGGGAGTAAGACGGAGGGTATCCCCTGAGATGGGAGTTAGGGAGAGGGTATTCCCTGAGATGGTAGTAACACAGAGGGTATCCCCTCAGACGGGAGTAAGACGAAGGGTATCCCCAGAGATGGGAGTAAGACAGAGGGTATCCCCTGAGATGTAAGTGAGACAGAGGGTATCCCCAGAGATGGGAGTAAGATAAAGGGCATCCCCAAAGATTGTAGTAAGACAGAGTGTATCCCCTGAGATGGAAGTTAGGCAGAGGGTATCCCCTGAGATGGGAGTAAGACAGTCGGTATCCCCAGAGATGGGTATAAGACAGAGGGTATCTCCTGAGATGGGAATAAGACAGAGGGTATCCTCAGTGATTGAAGTGAGGCAGAGGGTATCCCCAGAGAGGATGGTAAGACAGAGGGTATCCTCAGAGTGGAAGGTAAGACAGAGGGTATCCCCAGGGAGGAAGGTAAAACAGAGGGTATCTCCAGAGAGGAAGGTAAAACAGAGGGTATCCCCAGGGAGGAAGGTAAAACAGAGGGTATCCCCAGAGAGGAAGGTGAGACAGAGGGTATCCCCAGAGAGGAAGGTAAGACAGAGGGTATCCCCAGAGAGGAAGGTAAGACAGAAGGTATCCCCAGAGAGGAAGGTGAGACAGAGGGTATCCCCAGAGAGGAAGGTAAGACAGAAGGTATCCCCAGAGAGGAAGGTGAGACAGAGGGTATCCCCAGAGAGGAAGGTAAGACAGAAGGTATCCCCAGAGAGGAAGGTAAGACAGAAGGTATCCCCAGAGAGGAAGGTAAGACAGAGGGTATCCCCAGAGAGGAAGGTAAGACAGAAGGTATCCCCAGAGAGGAAGGTAAGACAGAAGGTATCCCCAGAGAGGAAGGTAAAACAGAGGGTATCCCCAGAGAGGAAGGTAAGACAGAGGGTATCCCCAGAGAGGAAGGTGAGACAGAGGGTATCCCCAGAGAGGAAGGTAAGACAGAGGGTATCCACAGAGAGGAAGGTAAGACAGAAGGTATCCCCAGAGAGGAAGGTAAGACAGAGGGTATCCCCAGAGAGGAAGGTTAGACAGGGGGTATCCCCAGAGAGGAAGGTAAGACAGACGGTATTAGCGGTGATAGTATTAAGAGAAGGAAGTAAGATGGAGTCTTTCCACAGGGTTTAAAGTAAGTCAAGTGAAAGGATATCCCGAAAATTGCAGTTTGGAGGGACTTCAATCTCATAATATTCACATCTTTTACTCCGACGCCATACATTTTCGCGTGAAAATGGCCACCACCACGGGGCCACCTTTTACTCACTGTCAAAGCTTCTAAATCGGAACCACATGAAAACAAAGTAGCACCGCCCAAATATATTGTTGTGTATATTTTATAAATTCCGTCGTTTGAGGGTATTGGCATGTACACCTCAACGGGTGTATTATGAAGAGTACATCTGGGTTTTGTGAGGGTTTTCATTTGCTAAGATGAACATTTCCGAATCGAGGTGTTTAAAACAGAATCATTTAGAAAGCCGGCGGGTGATTGGCTCAATAATCCACAATCCGTCGTTTACATTGGATTGTCAAAGTTTGCTCAGGGTTGTCATATGATGTGATCTCCTTTGGAGTGAGTGAGTGAGTTTGGTTTTACACCGCTTTTAGCAATATTCCAACAATATCACGGCGGGTGACACCAGAATGGGCTTCACACATTGTACCCATGTGGGGAATCGAACCCGGGCCTTCGGCGTGACGAGCGAACGCTTTAACGACTAGGCTACCCCATCCCCCGATCTCCTTTGGAAAAGTGATTAGATTTACATGTGTAGTATCTGAGTACAATATCTGATTTTAAAACGGTACACCATAATCCACACACGATAAACATGATGTTTTCTTTATTTCTTTTTCAGATGACGGCTGTCTTAGTTTGTGTAGTACATCCAAAAGGATCTTCCGTGGAAGCAATGTTACAATTCATCATTGGTCAGATTTAAGTGTAGGTTACACTGGTACGAGATTACAGTACACCGTAGGTAAATATCTTCTTTATTATCTTATTTAACCCCCTTTCTCAAAAGTAAACATAGTATATGATTAAAATTAACCATTTATATCTTCCAAACTGTTAGATCTGTTTTAGATTTATTGCTTAATGTAATCATGAAAAATGCAAAATGAATTACTTGTTATATGAATAAAATAAAAGGCCAAAGTTCATAATCAATGGCAGGCCCTATCATTAAACACTATTACAACTGATCAAATCAAAATGTTATTGTTCTCGTGTTTATACTTGGCGTGGCACATTTCCGCCAAACCCAGCACATACAAATTGGAGAATATGTGGCATAATCGGCGAAATTTGTGTCTTCAAATTTGCAAACATAACGACGTTGTTTTTATTTCGTCATTGTGGTCATCAAAATCCATGTATTATGCATATGATTTCGTGACAATAGCGAAGTGACACGAAATATTAACGCACATGTCGCTGCTAAAAAAGGTTTTATCCCATTCGTCAAACATGCCAACAAGGAAAATATATTTATTAAAAATATATATATACTCTTCAAAATAAGAAACACAAAGCCAAATTTGTGTGAGGTAGCCAAAATGTTGTGGAGAGAACATTTGGTCATTGTAGTCCTCTCAGTTATCGGTACATAGGAAAAGTCCAAGGTGAAGGTCAGCTACCATCAATAACGCATATTTCCCCCGTTGGAATCGATAGCGGCCGGATATCTCCTGCCCATGGAAGAGACGAGTATGCGAATCACATCCTTGGGTATGTGATTCTGTAGCCCACACTCTGCCTGCAACGCAAAAGCCAACTGCTGCAACGTCTGGGGTTGTGGTTGACGTCGGCGTAGCCTTCTATCCAATTCATCCCACAGGTGCTCTATCGGTTTCAAATCTGGGGTTCTGGAGGGCCAGGGGAGAACATCAATGTTGGTGTTGTGTAGACAGGATCTTGTGATCCGTGATGTCCTCTTGGAATACACCTTTGCCGTTGGCTGCAATAAGCTGGACGTATGGTAGGAGAATTTCGTTGATTAATCGTTGAGCAGTAAGATTGCCCTGAATATGTACCAAAAATGTCCTGCCATGATGAGAGATAGCCGCCCACATCATAATGCTACCCCCACCAATCATGTCCACTTCATGTACGCAGTTTACGGCGTAACGCTCTCCCCGACGTCTGTAGACCCGTGCTCTTCCATTCCCTCGACGGGGGAGAAATCTCGATTCGTCGCTGAACCAGACATCTCTCCATCGCAGTTAACCACCAATGCAGTCGTTGTTGGCGATGTTCTCGACTCAATATGGCGCATCGAACAGAACGTCTTGCTCGTAGACCTGCTGCTCTTAAATGGTTTCGCACGGTCTGGAGAATCTGTGCAGTCCGGGTATTTCTGATGCGGTTGAAGTGGCTGTGGTCGTCTTTCGAGTATGTGGAACAGTCGGATGTAGCGATCTTAGGCGGGGGTGGTTGCTCTTGGGCTTCCCCAACTTGGCCGATCACGTGTTGACCCATGCTGTTGAAACCAATCCTATAGCCTTGTGATGGTGCTGGGTGCTACATTGAAAACACTGGCTTCAGCTGATCGGGATTCCCCTGCTAGCAAGCGGCCTTTGACGCTGTTTCTTTGCACTTCTGTTAATCTTGGCATGTTGTTGAGCTGTCACTGTTTGATTGACGCAGATGCCAGGCAATAAAAAACCCTGCATTTTAATGCTGTTCATAGTACTGCTGCACGTGCAGCTCCATGGCCCTTTTTTTACTGCACTGGGTGCGTTTTTCCGAATCGTACGTGTTTCCCGACTAATGGTTTGCATGTCCTGGTTGTGATTTTTTTTATCCGGGAAATTTGTCACTGACACTATAACACATTAAACCTCTTCATTTTGCACATCTTGGTCCGTAAATTTTGCGTTTATGGCCAACAATATCGGTTTTGTGTTTCTATTTTTGAAGAGTATAATATAATATAATCTGATTGGCTTGCGCCGTTCCGACGCACGGCGGCCTTCGAAAGAGGGACGTCTCGTCTTGTAGGTTACGGATACTCTCTCACCACATGTCTATTCCGGTTCTCGTTTGCACAAAACATATGTCCTTGTTACGTTGTAGCGTTAGCGTATTAGAACAATTAGAACATATACCTCGTATGGTGGAGTAATCCAGTTATATCACGGCGTGTCAGCTTAATGTGGGAGGAAAGCCAAAAGTGATGCAGGTGCCAGACGTTTACCACGGGTATGGTGTATGGTGTAGCACGGGTATGGTGCTGAGAAACCTAGAAAGATAATCGGGGCGATTCGGGATTCGAACCCACAATCATAGGTTTCTGGCGTGCCTAAGGGACGCAACTCTGCAGAGCGAATCGCGACGCCTTACACGAATGGGCCACCCGTGCCTCATATGATAAAGTAAACCAAACCTCACTCACTCAAACGAAGAGGCCTTCTGCCTGGGTCACGACGGCGATGGTCATCACATGACGATGTAAAACAGTCGAACCGAGGCTTGTTCGACTCCCGTCCGACCTCGGCGCGTTGTGCGTGTTTTGGTCGTTACCAGGTGAGTTAAAATTAGGTTTAACGTCGCGTCAAAGATTATTGCACTCATTTAGCGACGTGCATGCACGTGCGCGTGCGTTTGGGGCTGCTTGTACTTGTCCGGACTGATGCCGATTTATAGTGCTAACTCACTGAGATACCATGCCGCAGTTTAACATGAATACCCCACTCAGACACAGTGTACTGACTCCGAGCCGACCAGACCTTGTTAATGCCGAGCGCCAGACAGGGTAAAAAGAAGAACCATCTTTTAACATCTTTTGGAATGACGCAGCCGGGGATCGAACCCTGGACCTTCCGCTCTCCGGGAGGGTGCTCTACCACCACACCACAGAGGGGGTCTGGTCGTTACGAAGAATAATGACGAAGAATAACGACCCCCGAAGCAATGGGCATAGTGAATCCTAGTGGTATAATTTACGTTGTTCTTACTAATATTTCAGCTTTATGACGACGGTGTGAAGTAATCGAGTCTGGACCAGACAATCCAATATTTGCCATAATGGGCATGAAAACAAACGCAACTGGGATACGACGACATACATCAATCAATTCAGCGAACATGCCCAACTGATCCAATTAGTTCCCTTTACAACAGGCATTGATTGCTGAAGAAAACTTCTAACCCAGATATTCAAGGGAGAGGGAAGATGAAATGGGTTTAAGGTCGCGTTTCAGATTATTGGACTTATATAGCAAAGTGTTTGCGTGTGGCGGCTTTCATTAGTCCGGATTTCAGTCGGTTTTATAGTGCAGGCCCACTGAGATATGGTGCTGTTGACCAGTCCTTGTTCTCGTCGAGCGCCAGGCAGGGTCACAACAAGCACCATCATTTAACATATTTTGGTATCATGCCGCACTCAACAATATTCCAGCTATATGAGGGCGGTCTGTAAATATTCGACCCCACCTCCACCCCTACCAAACAAACAAAGAGGTAATGTCCTTGTGTGGATCAAGCCTTTATTTCATGTACTTATATTAGACGTCCGTTTCAGATTTTACTGACTGGACTTCGTGGAAGAGCAACGCCTGTTACTGTGACTGTACCACCAAACAACGCCTTGTCGACGACACTAGAACAAGGACTTGCCTCAAGGACAGCTGCATTGGCGAGACGAACCAGAAACGAACCCGGGTCTGCAGAACCACGTGTAAGGATTGCGTACTCGGGAATTAGGTAAAGGTTATGAACAATACAATATTTGGTTCGAGACAGGATATGTTTAGGACTAATGCATGTAGGAAGAGCAGAACAGTGGGTATTTTACACAACACAAGTTGTCACAGGATATCCAGCATGTTTCGCGAGGACATATGTTCTTTGAACAAACACGGGAACACATGACACACCAACAGAGAGTTTTAACACCATTTTGATCACTGATGTGGCAAAGTTTGAAGTGTCCTACACCTGCCTAACACAACACTTCCTGAAAGCGCCACCAATGCTGTAACCCGTATCAAACAACTTCTGATAAAGAGTCGCATGACACTTTGAAATCGTCGTAGAAAGAACACATTCAATTGCACCGCTAAGGTGAAATCACAACAGATGCTGGCGCTGATCGTCACAAAGAAAAAGCTGGCTTTTGGAAATTTGAAATAAAAACTCTGGTCATGGTCTTGTGTATACATGCTTCTGAATACTTTACATGTATTGTCATTCTAAATCTTAATGCATAAATCTCGAATGCACAGAAGACATCATATGTAAAAAGAAAATCATGTTATTTTCTTTCTGTACTGAAGTCTCTTCTAAATGTCTTTATAAACCTCAAGTGACGGCATGCCTTTCTTGTCGGGCTAGGTTATACCTCTTAAAAGTAAAACCCCGGGAAACATGTTCATTAGAATGAGCTTCAATATGTGTACAGATTATGGAGGTATTAACGTGTAAGCCGGTGTGCATACCATGTAAATTCGCGTTGAGGATTTACGCAAAGCCTGTACGCCCGTTTATAACTACGTAGCCGAAGTAAATACGTCAACAAAAATAACTTCACAGCATATTTTCACCAGGAACAAACACAAACTGTAAACAATAATTATCATTGGCAGCAAGTGATCAAATATGTAACTGTTTTTGTTTTTCTAACTTATCAGACATTGATATGTGCAACAGCATCGGAACAGATCCTTCGTTTCTGAGAGCAATAGGCGAGAGGCGTTGTATCAATGAGATCAGTCTTCCTGGTGTGGTACTTGTTGATCTCTGGATTTTTTAACGATTTTTATTGAATCTTATGAACAAATATTTTTGTCTGTTTTGAATAATGGAAGACGCCCTTTCATGTTTTACAGTTCCGGTCTGACAGAATACAAAGAATAATATTCTGTAAATGGATTCAAGATATGGTTGCGCATTCATCACTGACTAGAGAGGGATTCACAAAGCTGAAAATGTTTCGGTGCAAATACTGATATTTGAAAGTATTTCTAGGGGAAAATCAACACGGTATCTGCTTATATTATTTGAAGACATGTCTATCTTGGAGGGCCAACAACTTTTGGCATTTTGTTTTCTTTTAACTTGCTTTCGGGATTTACAAAGAAATAAATCAAATGGTATACGTCTCCTGGCTTTCTTGGATTTGCTGTTGTGGACAAGTGAGCTTATATTAGTTATTCTGTCATGACATAAAAGAATGTTTGGGGTATCACGGGGCATCAAATGGTATCTAGTGGTATAGTGTCCGCCTGGAGAGCGGAAGTCGCGGGTTTGATCCCCGGTCACGTCATACCAAAAGACGTTAAAAGATGGTACTTGGTGTTACCCTGTCTGGCGCTCGGCATTAAGGGGCTAAACAGGGGCCATCTTACCGAGGCAAGAGAGTAAACTGACTTTAAACGTCCAGTTCCCATCCTTGCCGAACTAGGCTGGAATTCGGGGGCTCGATCGTAGCGCCACCAGTGGCTATCACGAGTTATGTCCCTTCTAAGCCTCTGCTATGGGCCAATCAGATTCCATCTCTCGTATCAACCGCGCCCAGTCAAGACGATCTGATCGATATTCAAGATCTATATTGTGATAAAACGGGTCTTACATCGCGAAGTGAATCAAATCAAGTGAGCACCTTGATTAAAAACATGAAAAGATTAGGAAAGTATCTGTTGACAACGAGTTGGCGGTGCACATGCTTTGCAAATCCTGCAATCGACCGAAATCTGCATGCCAGTTTACGAACCGGATTTCGATTTCGGTGCGCGATTTTGATTGGACTATGAATAGACTCGTTAGTCCAGCCAAAATGTAACTCCATAATACCAGGCTTGTTCGGCAAGGGTGGAAACTGGTCTTTTGTAGTCAGTAACCTCTCTTGCCCCGGGAAGATGAACAAGGGCCGACCGACTCGGAGTCATTATGCTGTGTCTGAGTGAGGTATTCTTGTTAAACTGCGGCATGGTATCTCAGTGGGATAGTACTATAAAATCGACATTGGTCCGGACTAGTACAAACAACCACATACACACAAGTGCAATAATCATGAACGAGACGGTAAACCCCATTTTACCTCACCTCACACAAAAAAGGCGAGTGTAGGGATACATTCATAGCCTAAATCATACATACACCAATGACTACAGATAACCCATCACAACTATATAAGAACATTGTCGGATGGTTTGGGGGAGGATTTCGATGTCCTGGACCTTAAACCTGACTGGTTTGTGATGAGATGGCAACTAGTTTGTTAGTTTGTCTTGTCTGGGGATGAACATTCATAGACAACTTGGGCTGCCCCAACGACTCACTGTGAAGCCAGAGGAATTCGTTATTGTTAGTGAATACAAAAAAGTACCCCCTGCATGTTAGTAGAGAAAAGTCACTCGCCATCTTGCCCCTTTGTTTACATCGACGAAATATACCGCCGAAAATCCAGCCAAGGTAGGCAAGGGTGGAACTTGGACGGCTATAGTCAGTTCACACAACTCATTCGGGAAGATGAAGTAGGTCAGCCAATCAGGTTGGCCCGCGGCTAATTCCGCTCGCCTTTCGTGACTTTTTTTCGAACTCAAATGTGTGTTTGACAACAAGTGTAGCATGTACAATATGCGGGAGGATGAGGAGTGACGGAGTGCATATTTTGTTTCGGGCACTGACCATTATTGAGTTCCTGTTGGAAAGGTGCCTCAGGGTCTATGAGAAACAGATTGATTTACTGAGTGCGTGAAACAGAAGTAGCTAACAACACTGTCAATTGTTATGTGTTCTTACATGCGATTCCAAACCTATGAGTAGTGATGTTGAATTTTTCTCACTAAAGCAGAAGCGTGAATTCTCCTTCACCTGGTGATTTTGTTTGGAAACCCATTACATGAGAGACATGAACAGTTCTGTAAACATTACTGACTAACTGAGACATCAGATATTTTGTTTAAGCCTCGAATATTTTAATAATAAACAGAAACCTCCTATCCAGCAGGTGATATGTTTTGAACAAAATACAATAGACTAAAAAACACATTGTTTCGCAGATTATTTGAATTCATTTTGCACTCCCCCTTCCCAAAAAACTGTATCCGTGCATTCTTGGCGCCTGTAATTGTTTGCACCAATTTATAGAACCGTTCGAAGTACCTCTTTAAATGTTATAGAGAGTGCGTGTGTGAGTGAGTTCGTCATAGTTTGGTTTAACACCACTTTGAAAGTAGCGATTGCAGATATATATCAACTCCATGTGTGAGAAAGGTTCATAATGATGCAGGATTCAGACGTTTACCCATGGTATGGCTGAAATATTGCTGCGTGCGGCGTTAAACAACAAACAAGCAAACACATTCTGACGTTTACCACTTTTGTTTAAAACCATAATCACGATGTTATGATTCGGAAACCAGTTTGTTATAAGTCGGATCAATTCGTAGTCCTGAACCATTCGTCAGATAAAATCCGATGACATATAAGAGATAACGTCAGTGTTTTGAGGTTCTACCATGACGACAACTACACATGGTACACAGGTCAGCGATCTCAGAACGTTCCGAAAAGGAGTCACAGATCTTGATAGGTGTAACACATTTTACTCAAGTTTAAGAGTAATTACTTATATTCCTGCCTGGTTAAAAAAATGCTGTTAAATAACACTTTTAACCCTTTTAATAACACTTGTTTCTATGTTTACACAAAATAGATACATATTTATATACTCAACAATAAAAGCTCCTGTGACACCAATATTTTAGTTTATTTTTCAAACAAGTAAAGTTTGGTTTTCAGTGTTTTAGTACATGTATGGAATCAAGTCACAAAAACGCAACTGCTACAGAAAAACATGCATTCCATGCAAAAGTTTACTTTTATGCAAGCCCCATGCATTTCACTACCCAAGAATGGGTATAAAAACATGTGCGTTCACGGGATTCCATATGCATTGTTTCGATTGCACTGGATTCGAACAACACACCTACGAAATCGATTCCAGTCAGCAACAGTGACTGCAAGAAGCATCCCTGGCCTTCGACGAATATCTTCACAAACCGTATGTCGCCGCCTCAGATGTGCAGGGATTGTCGCCAGAAGACCAACCAGACGTCCCATTTTGACAGGAAACCACCGTCAAGCACGTCTACAGTGGTGCAGCCAGCGTCTACGCTGGACGGCCATGCAGTGGGGACAAGTTCTATTCACTGACGAGTCTCGTTTACAACTGAGCCACAGCGATGGACGCATTCGAGTGCAACCGTTGATCAACATTTATAAAATGGCGTGTCCTCTGACATCATTATGCGAGATTTTACGAGGGGAATTTCATTTATTCAGGGATCGCTGATACATAAATGTGCCTTATAAGTAATCAGAAACCTTCTGACAATCCACGTATTGTTACTTGTTTTTATGTTTTTTACGGATTTTTACAGGAAAATACCTGTCAATAGGTGGGAAAAACAATTATGTTCTCTGCATGAAAAGAAACGTAAAAGTAGAAAATTCGTAAACATCTGACGGAGTGTTCAAATCATCAATACAAAATCAATGCCACAAATGATTTGGTCATGTCTGCGTGGACTGGATTGATTTGTGTGTAACTGTAGAAGTTTTGTGAAAAGATGGGACAATCGCGAACTCATAACCACGTGAGAGCCTGGCGCCGAAACACACCAACATGACTTGCATGCACGTTTGGTTTTCATTTGAATGCCATCACAATCTTACAGCAAGTGAACTGCAAAAACATGACACAACGTACCCTTACCAGACGCGGCCGACCACGTATCACTCCTAGAATCACCACGGTCACCTCACAAAACCAATTCTTGATATCTACCCGTGAAGATCCGCGTTATTATTATCAAAGGTCTTCAATAACCCATGCTTGTCGTAAGAGGCGACCAACGGGATCAAATGGTCGGGCTCGGGGACTTGGTTCATGCATGTCATTGGTCCCAATTGCGTGGATCGATGCTCATGATATTATCACTAGATTGTCTGGTCCAGGCTGCATTAATTACAGACCGTCGGCTTAAAATTGGAATGTGCGGCGTTAAACAACAAAGAAACATTGCCAGATATAAAAAATTCAAATCATAACTTTGGTATATCAATGTGATTTCTTGGAGTATACTACAACATATAAGCTGCATGTACCAGACAACAATATTGTTGCCTCACATGTCTAGCATGTATTTAAGTTGATGGATATATTTCTTGTTTGTGAATTATTCCACCATGACTACGTGAAAGACTCGAATTTTATTTGACAATCCATAACATTTGACATAATCAATTTGTATTGAAAATAATGCGTCTGATTTTATGACCGTTTCACTGCGCAGTCTCACTTCTTGAATTTGACCATCAACACGGCTGAAATCAATACAACATACGTGATGGGTTTCGGATTTTTTTTAATTCTGCATTTTTTCCATATGTGGTTCGAACTTGGCATAATTCAGTGATGATGAGCTTACCTCTATCGTAGCCAATTTAACCAGTTCAGGTAAATTAAGCCCAGAAATTTTAGCATCATAAAACAATGTGAAAATACATAAATCGAATGAAAATATCGTCTCCTTTCAAATGTCTTTGTGAATATTTCGTTACAAGGAAACAAAAGTACATAATTTTTTTTCACCTCATTTAAAAATACGCTACACGTTCGGTTTCAACTAAATCTAGAGAACATCAGTTTGGTCTAACATAAATGGAAATTTCAAACACTGTACGTTTATTTCCTAATTATTTCAAGACATCTTGGCTATGTTGAAAGCTAAACCTGACATTCTGAAATGCTGCATTCCTAATTTGTACAGCAAAGGGATAATTGGTGTGAAGAGGTGATTTATTGATATCAGAAATTCGAAGTTATCACTAAAAGAACATCACAAAGTATAATATAACATATCATTATCACATTCAGAACCTAAATGCCCCTTGACCAAAATATCGTTTCCATTTTGTCCATCGCATCAGAGATTCCGATTTCTATGCAAGGAGAAACATGTCAGTTAGGAGGGAAGAGCAATTGGTGCCCATGGGGATGCCTATTCTATGCCTAAATCTTCTCTCCAGAAACTTTATCTATGATAATAGAAAACGTCAACACAAGAGAATAACCCGTTTCGATAATCCACCC